CTGTTCCTTCCCCCTTGGCATGGACTGGCCTCAGGCAAAGGGCACAGCCCAGAGGGAAATGACCCTGAAACACAGCAGTGAGTCGCCGAAGCCGGGCTGGTTCTGCCCAAACTGCTCTCCTCCCACCCAGCAGCAGCAGCACAGTGCCAGCGCCCACACGGCTTTGGGACCAGCTCGTACAGAGCTGCCCAGAGCAGTGAGTCGCCGAAGCCGGGCTGGTTCTGCCCAAACTGCTCTCCTCCCACCCAGCAGCAGCAGCACAGTGCCAGCGCCCACACGGCTTTGGGACCAGCTCGTACAGAGCTGCCCAGAGGCAGTGAGTCACCAAAGCTGGGGCTGGTTCTGCCCAAACTCCTGCTCTCCTCCCAGCCTGGCAGCACCCGAGCAGTGCCAGCACCCACACGGCTTCGGGACCAGCTCGTACAGAGCTGCCCAGAGACCTGAGGGATTTGGTGAAGTGCTGGAGAGCCAGCGAGGCAGAGGAAGGGACCCCAGCCGAGGTGGGCAGAGGAAGGGACCCCAGCCGAGGTGGGCAGAGGAAGGGACCCCAGCTGAGCTGGGCACAGGAAGGGACCCCAGCTGAGCTGGGCACAGGAAGGGACCCCCGCTGAGCTGGGCACAGGAAGGGACCACAGACGAGGAAGCGGCACCATGCCCACGCAGCCAGGCCAGGCACGACTGCCAGCCCAGGCTCCATATGCAGAGCCCAGCTAATGCAGCTGGAATGGAAATGGTAAAGGGGGAGGAATTCACCTCCCGAAAGCAAAGCTCGGGCTGGAGCAGCCACGGGAGGGGTTCTGCTGCCCTGGGGGGCTGCCTGGAGCAGCAGCCGTGCACCCACCCCGTGGCAGGGACACTGAAACCCGGTTAAATGCTGCTCATTCAGATGTTAACACTCACCTCGTACTCCAGCAGCTTACAGAACTATTTTCAAGACCCTCTCTGTGCCTTTTTCACCTCAAACACATGGTCCCCACTCTTCAGCCAAAGCTGTTTCATTCATTAAGCCTTTTCTGCTCTGCCTCCACCCCCTCCCCTCCTCCTCAGCTTTTCAAACCCTGTCAGACGGGGAACAGCACATCAGCTGCCAGGAGGAAAACCAGAGACCAGCTTTGACCACAAATCCACCGTCTGTGGTGTGGGAAGGGAAAAATCCCCAGACTCAAGTGAAGTAAAACACTAAACACGTCTGGAAGATGAAAGTACAAACACCTTTAAGGTAGCGTGTTGAAAACAGAAGAAAGGAATGAGGAGTTCAAACAAGTTCTGCACTAAAAATGTGTTTTTGCAGATTTTTGTGGCTGCTGAAACCATGACTTCCATGTTGATCCCCTGAACAACAGCGTTTGATAGCACCAGGCCAGCAGTGCCGACGCAGCCCTGATTGAAGGAAGCCTTTAAGCTTCCCTGACAATGCATTTTTCTTGGAGATAAAAAATGAATGCTGCCAGCATGCAAATCTCTCTAAATTAGGCAAGGCCCAGCTTGCTGGAGCCACGATGTTTTGTGATGACAGTCATTAACTTTAGCAGAAGAGAAGAGGATGCAGGAAAATACTTCCAGCTCCTCCTCACCCCAGTTGGGAGCTGCTGCTGGGAAGTGGTGGGTTTGGGACGCTGACACCTGCAGTCACAGAGGAAGGAGCTGTGGCCTGTCCTGCCACGGTCACTCGGCCCATCAGAGGCAAACCACTCGCTCTCCCCACAGCTCCCACCACAACCTGCAAAAGGCTGCAGCAGGGGGGTCCCTCTCCTGTCAGAGAGCTTATTGCTGCCGTGGAAAGCTGGAGTCCCAGTTCAAGAACCAGAATCCTGATTTTCTCCAGAATGAGCACAGCCAAGACCTAAAGCCAACTGAGAAAGGAGTCAAGGGGATTTGGGCATTTCACAGATTATTTACCCTCCTGCCTAGTTTTGAGCACGCCCTGGACAGACTCCTCACAACATTCCCTCAGGGCCTGTGCCAAAACCCACCTTCCATTCCAAGTCACCTTTGGGAAGATTTCCCAGGAACAGTGCACGTGGGAGATTCCTGGTTTCCCTCTGCCTCCGAAGAACAGCTGAACTGGACACACACCGACGGCGGACAGTCCATTGGCTCTATGTTGTCATTAATGTATCAGGCTGCAACAACCTGGGAACAGCCTCCTGAGCTACCTGGGCTTCCTCTTTACCTTCCCTCTAACCCATACATGGTCATATTGTTTCACACCAGTCACTGCAGTTTAACAGGAAAAAAAATAAACTAAGAAAAAAGGAAGACTCTTGAGCTGCCCTAGTGCGAGGGCTGCGGCTGCATCCCCTCAGACAGCTGACTGCTTAATAACAAGAGAGGGATTAAAAAAAAAAAAAAAGGCAAACTATCTTTAATATCTCTAAAACCCCGTTCAGCAGCAGTTTCACAGAAACGTCACTCCCCTCCTGCAGCCAGGCTGGGGGAGGGCAGCAGGGGCAGGGGCGGAGGCCTCAGAAGCTCTCCAGCAGGTCCAGGATCCGCTTCTGCTCGCTCTCCCGGAACTCCTGGTTCTTCCCATCCCCGATGTTCTCGGCGTACTCTGTGGAGAGAGCAGGCAGACACCAGGCCCTGAGCCAGGCTCCTGGAACAATGGGCAGCTTCTCCGCCCGCAGCACTGCTGGGTTCCCTCCCCACCCCCAGGGCTAACGCTCTGCACCGTGAACAGCTACTGACCCCTCCCTAAAGCCTTTTGTAGTGAAGGGACCGAGCTCCTCCCAGCCCCCCATCACCCAGCAGAGCAGCCACTGGCAGCTGGCTGAACGGGACAGGCCTGTCGCTGGCCTCTCCCAGCCCAAGGAACTCAAACACCCCTGGAGCACCCAGGAAGGCCAGGCAGGGCTGTAACCCAACTGTGAAACATCCCTAGCTCTGGGCTCAACCTGTCTGCTGTCCAAGAATGAGGATTTTTCCCAAGTAGAGACCAACTCCCCCATCCACAAGTGCTTCTGACCCATAAGGAAGAAAGCACAGCAGTTCAGATTTAACTACAAAGAAACTCCCTGGTTCAGGCAGAGGACACCAGACCCTGACCAAGGTCTTGCCCATCCACACACACAGCTGAACACCATGGAACCAGACATTTCCCCTGCAGCTCTCCTTCCTGACACACTGAAAGCTGGCAGCCTCCTTCCTGTACCAGCTCCTTCCCTCCTGCCACCACAACCTGCATATTCAAAGACAGCTTAAAAAGAAAAAAATAAGAAAAGTGGGTTTTGAGCTGCGAACGCAAGGGGCTGAACAAATCTGAGTGAATCAGGAGCACTGCCTGCTTCGTGTTCTCCAGCCTCCCCCTCCCTGCATTCTTCCCCTTCTTCCTAAACAAACAGAACAGCTTGTATTCAGCATCTGAATGGTAAGTTGCTGTAGAAAGTTTGCTTTAATATTTATACGTTCAGCACTGCTACATGCTTCTGAGCTCCATCAAAGCCTTTATTATAAGAGTTTGAAAAGAGCGAGGACAGGGAGAAGTTGGCTGATGTGGGAGTCTCCCCTCCTCTGTGCAGTCTCTCTCTCTGTCTCCCCAGCACAAGCAGCAGCAGCTCTCTGCCAGGGCCTCTTGGAAAAATCCTTTTAATATTTATAAACTGCCACAGTACCTGTAACAGGAGCAGGTGGGTAACAGGAGGATTGCTGCAAGCAAACCCAGCTCCTCGCTGCCCTGGAGAAGGGGAGCTGCACGGGGCTCCTCCCAGGGACAGAGGGCAGCTCTCCATCCAAAGGAACCCGTGCAGGCAGCAGCTAGCTGGGGACTGTTAGAGCCCTGGGGGTTCATCAGAGCTCCCCGTGTGCCCGGGGAAGGAGCCCAGCCAGGCTCCACAGGCCCTGGCAGAGGGCTGGGCCACAGCACGGGGACCAAAACCTGCCCCTGCTTCTGCAGGAGCTACCCCCCCTGCAGGGACAGCACTGCCTGCCCAGGGGACAGCACCAGCTCCCACCAGGAGTCAGCCCCAGTTCTCCCATCCCCTCCGGGCAGTGCCAGGGTGCTCTGCCAGCCCGGGCAGCTGGGGAGCAGCTCCATGCCCACCAGCCCCTCCAGGCACTCTCAGAGTGAGTGCCTCTGGAACCGGTGCAGTGATGAAACCAAAGCAGCCCAAGGGCAATTCCTCCCCACCTGCCACTGAGCTCTGGGTGCCCACGGGAGGCCCAGGGTGGTCTCCAGGCCTGGCCCAGCCCAGGTCAGCCCCGGGCACACGCTGAGCTCTGCCTGGAGCACAGCACCACTGGCCGGGGGCTCCCAGCCCAGCTCCAGGCTTAGCCCCAAGGGCTGCTCGAGCACTTGGGTGTACAGCTCCACCAGGGGAACTGGGTGCCACTCCTGACACAGCCCTTCTGCTGTCCCAGAGAGATCACGCAGACGAAAGCAAGCCACAAATTCCTCTAATCTTGTCCAAAAGCTCAGCATTCTTCCTGCTATTATTTAGGCTTCGTAAGAGTAAAATCCCAGTGACTCCTTGGGCAGACTGTTTACTGGGTTACCAACAGTTGCTAAAGCTAATTTGAAGACCAGCTAAAATCCTCAAAACCAGGCTTTAAAAAAATCTCCCAAAGAGGTTTTATGCATTTACTTTTTTATTCAAAATTCCACCAGTTCAGCGAGACAGCAAAAAAATCAGATGTAAGCTGCCCCTGCCAACGGTTAAACAGAGCTTACACATTGCTGCAGCTGCACAAGGAGAGAGGGCCCAAGATTGGTTTCTGCTTCATTAGACAAAATACAATGGTTACGGAACAGTACAAATCAATAGGGAAATATTGAAGCTTGTAATGGATACTGGAAGGGCTGAAGCCTGCACACACTGCGGGACCAGGGCCGCATCCAGCCCTCACAGCACACCTCTCCTCTCCTCTCTCACCAACTACCCCTGCTAACAGCTCTGCTTTATCACAGCCAGGAGGCATCCACCCCCCAGCTCCCTGGGGTGCTCACCACCCTCACCAAGACCAGGGGCCTGAGCTGGCATCACCCCTGGGTGCTGCTGGGGAGGGACCCTGGCCCCCGGGGTGGCTCAGCAGCAGGTCCTGCAGCGAGCAGGCTCTGGAGCTGGGGGGAACAGTGAGCTGGCCCCTTCCAGGACTGAGTGTCACTACTCAGAGATGTCCCTGCCTCACCCCATTCCCGAGGAGGGATGGAGACCCAGAACTGCCCCCAGACAGACAGTGCTGGCTGTCAGGAAGACCAGTGGCCATCCCCAGAACATCCACCCAGCCAAGGCACACACTGTCCCCTTGTTTCCTTCCAAAGGATACACTAACTGTCCCGTTGCAAGTTATCCTTGATCTTCCAGAAAAGGGAACTGTGGGAGGACTGGTCAGCCTGCAGAAATGCCTCTAATGAGCCTTCAGATATTCCCTGCCCACTCTCCCCCCGATAGACCTACCATAAGAAAACAGTCTTGCTTCCTCACTTGCATCATAAGTAATTCTGAGCAACCCCAAGGGATCCATCAGCTGTCAGGTTGCCAGAGAAACATGGAGAATATGTAGGCCATAAAATCAAACTAAAAGCCAAGCACCTAATTAGTATGCAAAAATAGAAAATAAAAACTGAACAAGAGCAAAACACTGAACAAAAAGTAAAAATAAACCAGCTCTCATCTGTCCTGAGAGCAAGTTGGAAAGTGGCCTGGAAACATCTCAGCCAAGGCTCTAGGCTCCCAACCTCTCAGTCATTTGGGACAGAGAGTCCCACAGTTCAGCCACCAGTTAAATTCTGGGGATCCTCCACTGACCCCCAGCCCTCCAGGAGGCATCCAGGGGCGCTGTCAAACCACTCCAAGGGACACGAGCTGTCTCCTCTGCAGAGGCAGGGACTTTTCCCTGGTGTCACTCCTCTTCAGGGCTGTCAGTGCAGATCCACCACATTCAGACACCTGTGTGCAGCTACTGAAAGCCTCCAGTGTCTGCAGCACAGCCTGAAGAGGAGCTCAGTGCTGCTCCCACCCAGCAGGGATCTTCTGCACCCCTCTGCAGCACTTCACAAGGGCCCACCAGATAATTTATCTCTAAGGTCATTGACAGTTGTGATGGAAGAAGTCTCTGGAGCTGGCAGGCACACGGGTGGGGGCGAGCTGAGGACAGAGCCCTGGCCCTGCACCCACTGCCTGTGTTGTTAACCAGCCGTGCCCAGCACACACCACTGCCCAGAGCCGAACCCGCTGCACTGCCACAGCTCGTGAGACACCACAAAACCCTGAGAAACTTTCACAATGCAAGTCACTGTCTGTGAGAGAAAGAATCAGATGAAATTTTAATGCCCCTGCCTCCAATTCAGCATAGTATGTAAATCAACAAGGCAGAGACACGAGCGTGAGGTGTACGGCTACAGCGAGGAGCGCAGACAAATCCCCCGGCACCCGTGGCCCAGGGCAGGCCTGGGAACATGAAAGCAGATGTGTGCCATGCTCTGAGCTGCAAATGGGCACTTTGGAGGCAGGAATTGTCAAGTATCACAATTAAAAGCAAAACTGACAGCCCATCCAGTCCCCCCTGTTCACCAGCAGCATTAACTCGCCCTTGCTGGCAAAGGACAAGGGCCAAACAGCCTGTCTATAGATGCAGGTAACCTCACACTGTCAGAAAACCACTCTTCATTTCATCCCACCATCCCCTTTCTTCCTGCCTATGGGAAGGGAGAAAACCAACAGGATCTGCAAGGAATAAGATGCCTGGACCTGCCAGCACCAGGGAGCTGGGGGGAAGAAAGGGCCAGGAGAACATCCCTGTCATTCCCAAAGAACCAACACACGCCACAGCCCAGCACCCCTGGAGGTGCTGCCAGCCTTCCTCCCTCCAGAGGAGAAAGAGACTCCTCACCCCTCCCCAAAACCAACACACCCCCGGGGAGAGGACACGTCCTGCTCAGCCCTCTGCCAACGAGGGACCACCAGCAGAGCCCCAGCTCAGGTGAAGCCCAGCAGCTCAAAGGGGCTGTGGGGAGTGCCCGAGTCCTCTCCTCTCCTCCCCTTCTCCTGAAGGGCAGCAGGCCACAGATGAGAGCCCCAGCTCAAATAAGCACTGCTCTAATTCAACATCAGCATTACAAATAACAAGCAATACTTTAAAACTGGGATTGCAGATCACAACAGCTACACTTTAAAGCTACAGAGGATACTTTAATGCTATAATCCATATTAATCTGACACTAAGAACAAGACAAATACACCACGGACACTAACATGGTGCAGATGGTACAGTGCAGGGCCATGGGAATGAAAGATGAGACTCCACTGCTCCCCCCTCTAGCATGCATGCTCTCTTCCCTTAAATATTTACTCTGCTGTTGACATCAGCAGCGAGCCCCAGCCAGCCTGTGGCTGACAGCAGCACCAGGCAGTGTGCTGTCCAGGACAGCAGACAACAGCACCCCTCCTAACTCCCAGGTAAAACACGTCTCTTATCAGGGTGACTCCAGCCCCACCCATCTCAGAACAACACCCAACCACCACCCAAAGATGCTGATGGAGTCAGGGAGAATGACATGTGAAGGCTCATCCTATAAAGTGAGGAACAAGCTGTCCCTGGTAGAGATGAGACACATGCATCAGAATATCTCAACTCACCCTTTAGGATGTGTCGAACGATTTTAATGGAGCTGCCTCTCATGTTCAGAATCTGATGGACTCTCTGACGGATCTGATGGGGGACAGGAAAGAGAAGAAAAAAGGAGAAGTCACCAGCTGTAGTCTGTGCCTTTGTGAGACCTCCTGAGAGCACGGCCCAGGCTCTCAGCAGTGGCACACAAAGGGCCTCTCCCTGTCAAACCACGGCCTCGCTCACGGCAGACTGCATGAACCCTGTGCCATGAACAGCTCCTGTACCCCCCAGTGCCCTCCTAACTGCTGATCCTGATGAAGCTGTATGGACACAAGCAATAAACAGGAGGTTTCCTCCCAAAGAAAGGAATTAGAGATTATTCAGTGAGGCCGCAGTTGCAAGGATTTAGTGTCTTGTTTGCATCACGGATGGAGACAGAGCTGGTTTGCTGACGCCGTGGATGGATTCACCTGGGGCACGTTGGCATTGCAGATCTCTGCCATGATGTAGCAGATGAGCTGCAGCACGAAGAGGCCGGCGTCCAGGCGGCGCAGGTAGAACTCGTCCTCCATGTCGTCGTCGATGATCTCCCCCCGGCGCACCAGGTCCTGCAGCAACAAAGAAAAGGGACTTCCCATTAGCAGTGGCAAAACACTGGTGATATTTCAGGTTTCTTAAGAAACGCTTTGTTCCCCAAAACATTAACATCCCTATATTTCTCACCAGTGAAGATGTACTTTCAATAATTCATTTATATTCACAAAATATTTCATTCTGTTTCAGGCAAGGTTTTGCCTTTGCTGGTTGTGAAGTGTGTCCATCTGCAAATTAAAATTTTAATTTAAACATACAAATTATATTTCTAAACTGAGCAATTAGAGATTGTGAATATGGAACAAACCGATGCATCTATTATTTATAAGTTCTTTGTCAAAATGGAACAAAAAACCTGCTCTTTTACTGGCCATCTGAGGGTGCTGTTAAGCAGTGCAGAACAGGACTCCAGCAGACTCAAAGACCCACCAGGCTCCCAGCCTCATTAGTCACTGATGAATGAGGAAATAGGTCCAGAAGTCCTGCACAAGTCCAGCTTTGCCATGCCCAGCCCTGCTCTTCCAGCCCCACTTGTGAGGGACACGGATGGGGCCAAACCCCAGGCAGGGTCTGTCAGCAGGCCACAGGCTCCTGACCACAGAACACCAACCACGTGTTCCTCCTCCTCACACACCACGTTTCACCAGTGAGACCCAAAGGGAGGCCAAAGGCAGAAAGGAAGAGGCTGCTCCATCCACCTGGTTCAGAGCATCTCCAACACACGGGCAAGGGCAGCCCAGTGACCAGCAGAACAAGAGCCACGTTCTGCAGCTGGACCTGCCATCCATTCTCCTGGAGACTGACAGGCCAAACCAACCATGCCATCCGTGACCTTTTGCATTCTGGGGTCTGCTTTGTGGCTTTGTTCTTAAATGAAGGAAGCAGCTTGTCAGCTTGCAGCCAGCTGGCTGGTGGGCACACACTGGGCTAGCAGTACCTCCTCATTGGCCACCACCAGCCCCAGCCCCAGCCCACGACGCTGCCTCGGGGCACACGCACGCAAGGTCACCAGCACCACAGCTGATGTAGGCTCCCAAATATTCCTCTTTTGTCAAGCCCAGTCCTTGCACTGAATTGCAGGTAGAGTCTTTGAGGCACAAGAAGGAAAATGAACCCCGTGTGCTTCTCGAGGCAGAGGGTGCAATGGATGCTCCCCACAAAAAGCCTGTGTGAGTGCCCCAGGGCAGCTGTTCAGCACTGCCTCTGACTGAGAGGGGCAGCACCCCTCACGAGACACTGCTCCTCTCCTCCTGGAAATCCAGCTTACAGTGAAAGAACAAGTTCAGTCTAAAAAACACTGCCTGGTTACCAGTGCCATAATGCCAAGTGGTTTGGATGCTTCAGCCTCAGGTCCTGTAGGCGCCAGCATCTGCACAACTGTCACTTACTCCAGGGTCTCAAAACCACGGGCACAGGCATGACTGGGCACAACTTGCACACAAGCTCTTGCCAGTAAAAAGAAAAGTCCAATTTTGTGCAAGGGATGATTTTCCTCACCCTGCAGATGTGTCAAATTGCTTGAATCTGATCAAACCTAGTCTCTAAAGTGAAACCACGCAGTCCAGTTAGCAAGAGATGGGAAGCATGGGCTGAAATACTGAAGACATTCCAGGAAGACAGTAATCCCACACTCCTGCTTGCCCTCCTCGCTGCACACAGCCTGACCAGCTGCTCTCCTCAGCAGCACTAAACTCCTGAACAGCCAAGCAGCAGCAGGCAGGATTTCCAGCCTCCCGAGCAGGACAGAGTGTGTCTGCTCCACACCCCCTCCACACACGGCGACCCCAGGAGCTGG